CAACCGTTCATTGCACGTATCCATTTCAGGGGCCGTAGTTGGAGGAGCCCTGATTGAGTGCAATATAAAAAAAAAATTTTTCTGCAGAAAAATGGTTGGGGGTCACCACAACATGAGGAACTGTATTAAAGGGTCGCGGCATTGGGAAGGTTGAGAACCACTGTTCTACGTGGAACAGAATGAATGCTCTTGTTTTAGTGATGAGTCATTATTAATGTTTAGATTTACCACAGTCACCCACCCCAGTGGACTCTGGGCTGCTTACAAAATCTAATGAATAATTAAAAGAAATTAAAAATATAAATAAGACAGTCCAGACGGAAAACTACCATTAAAACTGAGCTCCACAGCCCTGCTCCTCAAAGCATTAACCCCAGACCCGGAACCAAGGTCAGGCTAGCTATATTAGGGGCAATGCAACTCCTGGGTTTGCCACAGCTGTCTCCATGTTGACCAGAGACATGAACTAGAGGCCAGAAGGTAAAGCTTATTAGAGCTCAAAAAGATTGAGGATTAGCTCCTTAGGGCTTGCAGCTCTGAATGACCTTGGTTCATTAATTCAAAAGACACCAGTGGGTCAAAAATGAACAATAGAACTCTACTTTGTTAAAAGTCCCTCTTTGGTGGCAGAAACCAAGATAATTTCTAAGGTGATATAATACAGAAAACCCTCACATCAAGAGCTGCCCAAACCCTTCCCTTCCCTTCAGTTCCATCATCCCTTTGGTCTTCTTCTCATTCACTTTTCCTCCTGTTCTCCATCCCTGCCTTGTGGAGTCCTTCTTTTCCCTTTTGCTATGCAAAGTGATTGGAGTCCTTGCTTGCTCACTGCCTCCCCTGAACTGTGCTTTGCAGAGAGACCCTTGCAGCAGACTCGGCTGTCTTCCTCAGCTGCCCTCTTTCCTTCACCTTTAGACAACCCCAAATCTCCTGCCACCTCCTGCCGGGCAGCAGTCTTAGCATCTGCAACAGGAAACACCTTGGTGATCACAAGTTGGAGAACGACAGAGTTCAATGTTTTGGGAGTTGAGGGCTGTGCTAGGCCTTCCATAGGAAGATGGGAAGCATACTCCAAAGAGAGGCAGGGCCAGGTCAACCCTTAATTCAGATTTAACTTGAATGCATTTAAGTTTAATTAAAGCTAATTGAGTTGAATTATGACTACCAGGGTGATTATTCATTTCCTTTTTCTCTGGCATTCAGATTTAGTTTGGTACCTACTTTGGAGGGCCTCTGAGGGCTGCACTAAGGTGCTGTTAAGGGCTATGTATAACCTGGGGCTCCAGGTTGTGCATCCTAAGTTTAGGGACACTAAAATATATTCATATTCTGCAGGCTTCATAGATCAGACAGCATGCTGTTCCTCAGACTTAAGTTGCTGCCGGAAAAGCCAATGAAGTCATTCCAAGACCATGCGAAATGTTAGTACCGCTGGGGAGACCACACTTGAAATCCTGTGTCCAATTTTGGCCACCAAGGGAGAGAAAAGATGTTGAGATTTTAGAAAGAGTGCAGTGAAGAGCAACAAAGATAATGAAGGTTTTTGGAGGCTAAATCATGATTAGGGGACTGGAGATTAAACCATATAATGAACAGTTAAGGGAACTAGGTATGTCTAGCCTAATGAAGAGAAGGACTAGGGGGTGACAAGTCCTAGGCCTTTTAGTACTTGAGCTCTCACAGAGAAGAGGAAGTCAACCTATGCTCCAAAGCACCTGAGGGCAGGACAGAAAGTAAGGATGGAAGCTTATCAAGGAGAGATCCAATGTAGAACTTTTCTATGTTTCAATTTCAAGGTGACAAGGAGAGCAATGTGAAACAGCTTGACTCCAAAGGTTGTAGGTTCTCGATCACTGGAAGTTTTCAGAAGAGATTGAACAAACATTTGCCCTGAAATGAATAGAGTCCCCTGCTTGAGCAGGGGGTTGACTTCCTCTTNGGAGACTGATCGGTAACCAGTGCAGCTCGCGGAGGATAGGTGTAACGTGGGTGTACCGAGGTCACCCACAATCGCTCGCGCGGCTGCGTTCTGGATGAGTTGAAGTCTCCGAATACTCTTCAAGGGCTGCCCCATGTAGAGTTCTTGCCAAGCGTCTGAACTTAGATGACGTGCCTGCGGGGATGCTACAACGGTCGTAAAGGGGGGGGGTGGTGAAACGGTCACAAGTTGATACTCAGTGCCGTTGTAACTTCATTAAACGGTCATTAAATAAACTGACTGACTGACTAGCTGTGTTTAATGGCCGGATGCCCTTCCTGTCACCAATGCAGAGTTTTGCTCAGCAGATATGACCAGAAAGATCATAAAATGGGGCCAAACTCACTTAACAACTGTGGGTTTTTTTTGGTAACAATGGAAGGTTGTGCTCAATTGTGGTCATTAATTTGGGGCCTACCTGCAGAGATAGTCCTCAACTTACAACAATTCTTTTAGCGACCGTTGAAAGGTACTTAAAAAAAGACACATTTGCGAAGGTCACCACCTCTCTGTGGTCACATGATCTGCATTTGAAATGCTCGACAAGCGATTCCTATTTACGACGGTCACAATGTCCCGGAAGGGGGGAGGGTGTCACACGATTTCCTGTTACGACCTCCTGTCCAGCAAAGTCAACAGGGAAGCTGGATTCACTCAACAACCGGGCGACTCACTTAACGACGGAAGCGATCTCACGATAAATCGTGGAGTGGGAGGGGAGGGGAAGCTCCCTCGACAGGTCTCTCACTTAGCAACGTCATGCTCGTAAGCCGAGGACGGACCTGTACCGCTTCCCGAACTCAAGCGCATCACGGGAAGAATTGTGGGAACCAAGAAACAGGATTGGCAGAAGGCACATTGCGGGAGAAACAGAGATATCGACCGAGGTGGTGATGGGCCGTTCTCGGGACCCCCTTGACTTACAAGGTTCGGGCGGGGGTGGCAAAGGAGGGGGCGGCTCTTCAGCGGTGGCCGCTGCGGCCGCGTTTGCCGCCGCGGCTTCGTTCGTCATCGATCGGGTGACCCGGCCCTTCCGTCGGCCTTGGCTGTTGGCCGTCTTACGCCCCCTCGGAGCTGTGACCTCCCGCTCCTCGGACTCCTCGGGCTGAGCTTCGATCTTCTCCTTTTCCTTGATATTTTCCCTGGGGGGGACACAAAGGGGGAGGGGGAAGGGGGGAAAGAGTCAGGGACGGCTGGGACAGCTGGGTCGGCGTGACCTGGATGGCGAGAGAGACACGGACGGGCGGCTGAGGTACGAAAGGGCGTGAGCTACGTAATCCTTACTAGCTCCTGCTGGCAAGCTGGAGGAATCTCTGGCAGGGGCTCCGAGGGGCAGACCGACCCGGCGAGGAATTCTGGATTGGATGAAGGGAACTTTTTGATACCAACGGAAGAGAAGGTGCATTGCTCAGGGTTCAACTGTGGGGTCCTTGGTGCCCTCTGAGCTTGGTGGTTTTCTTACAGACGTTTCGTGACCCAACTAGGGAACATTATCAGTGCCTGAAGTGGGGGGGAGGAGGAGGAGGAGGAAAAGGACTGTGGGGTCCTTAGTGCTCTCTGAGCTTGGTGGTTTTCTTACAGACGTTTCGTGACCCAACTAGGGAACATTATCAGTGCCTGAAGTGGGGGGGAGGAGGAGGAGGAGGAAAAGGACTGTGGGGTCCTTAGTGCTCTCTGAGCTTGGTGGTTTTCTTACAGACGTTTCGTGACCCAACTAGGGAACATTATCAGTGCCTGAAGTGGGGGGGAGGAGGAGGAGGAGGAAAAGGACTGTGGGGTCCTTAGTGCTCTCTGGGCTTGGTGGTTTTCTTACAGACGTTTCGTGACCCAACTAGGGAACATTATCAGTGCCTGAAGTGGGGGGGAGGAGGAG